CAAAAACGGAGGTTGTATGTGAAAGTTACGGATTTTAGAAGTCAGAAGTGTGCTGTGCGAAAATGGGTGATGTGGCACAATCTTGGCCATTGCTTTCTCCCCAAGTCTTGCCACTAGATGGTGACATGTGGCACCAAGTTCAACCATTTTTCACCCTATAAATAGAACCTCTCTCACCCTCATTTTCTTCACACCTTTCCCATTCTTTCTTCTTTTTACTCTCTCTCTCTAGAACCTCTCTCTAGCCCCGAAACCCCCCGAAAAGCCTAAGGAACCTCCCTAGCACGAGGCGGAAGGCCCGGGGTGCTCAAAGGCTCCGAGAAGAAGAGCTTTTCGGCTCGGGAACGCTGCTCCAAGCAAAGCCTGGTTTTCTATAAAACCCACTGTAAGTGAGCTACGCCTACGCTATTTTTAATATAGTTTTTATTTAATTATAGTAACGTTATTAGGAACTTATAATAAGTACTTGGGCTATTATTATGGGTTATATAAGTATTGTTTAACGCTTATATAATAGTAATAATAGCTAGACTATTAATTAGTCTCGGCGAATAATAGACTAAACTCTAGTGGTAATAATACTAGGTTTCGTCGAAGGAAATTATTTTTTTAAGAAGCGAAGCGCTGTCGGAGTTCAGAATCACCACCTTTTCAAGTGAGTGCATAGTTACTTTCATCTTACACATAGATATGAAGTATTTTATATAAACTACGTGCTATGTGTGCATATTATCTGTATACTTGCTATCTATGCTGGATGAACGATTTTATACAAGTTTTATATGATTTAAACTATATATGTATTTATATCTACATAATATGTTGGGTAAAACATGGGTAGATGAAATATGAGTTGGATGATGAGTTGAGAGGTGATATAGACCATAAGGTAAGGGTGAGAGGTGGGTGATGTGAGAAGCCTTGTTCCCAAATGCTGTCCCCGTCATCTAGCAGAGTATGGATGACAACCACAGACTATTCTAGACAGTCCAGTGGAACACTAGCAGGCTCGCAACCTGTAGGTGTTGTGAACGATGTGTTCACCCGGTGTACTCTAAACCATGGCGATCATGAAGACTTGGTGCCTAAACCTTGACGATCATGCAGACTTGGTGCCAAAACCCTGGCGACTATGCGGACTTAGTGCCTATTGTATAAATCCTGGCGACTATGCAGACTTAGTGCCTAAACCCCGATGATGATGGACTTCGTGCCGATTCCTTAGGATGATCCTTAGGAATGAATGAACAAGAGATAACTGATTCTTAAGGTAGATCCTTAAGAGTAAATAAGATAATGGGGATGGTAATTGGGTTAATTTTTTGATGATTAAACATAATAATTATATTATTGTGGGTTGAAAACCCTATGTACTCACCAGGTTTCCCAACCTGACCCACTCAGTTTATTTGTATCACAGGTGTCGATATGAAGTTACTTTACACTAAGAGATTTAAAAGAGATGTAGATCACTAGTGTAAATGAATGTAAGTTCTGTTTATGCTTATGTTTTTGTATTGACGATGACATCCCAAATGTTTTAAAATGAATAAAAATACATTTCTTCGGAAATGCTTTGATAACGTATTTATCATGTTTTTCTGGGAACAAATTCCGCAAGATTTTTATTAAAAGAAGTACTCTGATTTTTATAAAGCATAAACAAAATCGGTCTTTTTTGGCCGTGAAAATGGGGATGTCACAGTTTCTGTCCAATTGAAACTTGGTGATGAGTTTCTTTTCACTTAGTCAATTATGACAATACCACAAGCAAGGTTCTAAATGGCGTGAGGCGTAGCGTGGCGGCAAGGCCAAGCCTCAAGCTTAATGAGCCATGGTGTTTTTCAAGGCGTGATGTAAGGCGGCGATTTTGTATTAATTTATAATTATATTACCATGTAAATATAAATTTATATTAAATATAGCTACTTTTTAGAAGTGTTATATCAATAACTAATAACAGAAGGTTAACAAAAAGTACAATACTTGTATCCCTAATTAGGAAAGACAAAACAAAGAGCAAAAAAATGTGTTTCAAACGAAAAAAACGCGCCATAAGACTCCATAATGCGTCGTGGCACGCCATATCACGCCTTGCCACACACCATGGCTAACATCAACATTACGAGGATTTTCGTAGTGACGATGCCACGCCTCACGCCATGGCACGCCTTGGCGCGCGCCATGGCGTACCTTTTATAACACTGACCACAAGCGATATCATAAGAATCTAATCCACATTTAATATTGCTAATATTAGAAACATAACTAACACATTCATAAATGCCATTACAAGGAAATATAAAATAAGGCAACCAAATAAACCAAAATTTCACTTTTATTGAAAATAAATGAAAAGTTGGAACTTGTCCTTACAACACATAAAATGAAAAACTATGTTTCTAGACATATCCTAAGAGTAATAGCAAACTATTAAATTATCCTAACTCCTTAAAAGTAGCTCCAAATTGTGATCATCGAACCATGTGACAAAAGTCCATCTCTTACGATCAGATTTAACACACTTTTCTTAAGCTTCCTTCTTTCCCTTAGCTTTTTTAATACCATCAAAATTTAATCATCACATCATGTGTTAAAAGTCTATGAATAGGAACTTATAATGGAGTCAAATAATGGATGTACCTGAAGTAGAGTCACATGACTTGACTTTACTATCTCTAAGATCTTTCAGGTATTTTGGGCAGCTTCGTGTATAATGTCCCTTCAATTGGTAGTAGAAACAAATGGACTCTTTGGGGTCAATACAGGGAACAATCCCAAAACTAACCTTTCTCTTTACCATACGATCAAATGGTTTGATCTTCGACGATCCCTTTCTAATGGGAAGAGAAATATTTTCTGGATAACCATTGTCACCATTGTGAATGTCCATGGAAACCTTTGAATTAGACCCTATAAGCATCTCTGCTTTAGATGTGCTTTTAAGAATTTCTTCTTCAACAACAATCAACATCTGGGTTAGATCAATTAAGGCTACGTCGATATTCCTTATATAAAGGTTCTCAATGAACTGATCATATGACCGAGAGAAGAACCAAATCAATGGCTTGCCCCTTTAGGAAAATGACACCCAATATATCCAACTTGTAAATGTACTATTTCATTTTTAGAACATGCACACACATAGAGTTTCCATCTTGATGTTTATATGCTAATAGGGATTGATTAGTCGCATATCTTTTAACTTGAAGAAAATGTGATGTTGGGAGAGTCACAGGAGGAAGAGTTGGAAAAGTTGAAAAGAGATGATGTCCAGTTACATCATTTCCTAAGGAAGGGAAAATAATTTAACATTAACTTGAAATTGGAATACCATCTCCAGAAGATTGAGGAAAACCATTTCCATAAGAATGATGAAAACCATTTCTATCTTCATAAGACATCTAAAAGTGAGAAAAGAAAGAATTCAAGTTAGTTGATTTTAATCCTTAATTATTAACCAAAAATTTAAATTAAGGCTAAGATCCATATTTTCGATTCGAACTTTGAAGAGGGATACCGTAATCAAATTCGAATCTATTTTAGGTAGGTAAGGCATTTACCAATTTCAATCATATGAAACTCCTAGATGTTTTGAGATTTATTGAATCTTATCAGTGGAAGGTTTAATCTCAGCTTATGCTCTCAATTTTGTGACTAGGATGCCGATGATCAATAACAAGATGTGAATAACCATGCAAACCCGCTTGACAACCTCAAGGTCTTTTATCATCTCAAATTAATGTGCTGGTTAACCACACATGCTCCATCAAAAATGATAATTTTCGAGATTCTACATCATATCTCTTTATAGTCCTTATTAATTTGTCGGTTAACCACATATGCTCCACTAACGACATATAAAGCATGATGTGCATTTTCATGGATTAACATACTTTTCACATTTTTTCTTAAGTAACTAGAGTGGAATTTTTAAAGAAGGTTCTAGTACTTTTGTATCATTATACTTTTAATAAGGTTATGTCTTATTGAGCATGTTCTGCTAACGACCCTCCACCAAACAAGGGAGCGGTGGGTGAGAGTGGACACTCATTCAACGACCATTTTATAGGTCACTTCCTTATACCCCCCTCTCATAGTATGGCTTCACAATTGAGGCATGCTAGCGATTCGACTGACTTACTCATATACATATAGTAATTAACTTTTATTATATATATATATATATATATATATATATATATATATATATATATATATATATATATATATATATATATATATATATATATATTATATATATAAGTATTTTAAAACATTTCAAAATACAAGGTTTAAACTTTTAATTATTTAAATTAAACTTTTTAATTTAATTAAATTTAAAGGAATTATGATATAATATTTATCTTTTAATTACCTATTAATTAAATTAAGTTAAATCATTTATGGATTAAATAATTATTTACTTTTAAATAATTCAAATTTAATCCTAATCCAAAACCCTATTATAATTTTCGAAAATTACGGTATGGATTATCCAATTTTAAGTACTCTATTTTAAGGCTATTAAAACAATAATTAAGGAAATTAGAAAACCCTAACTAACCCTAGCCATTTTCAAAATTTAAGGGGTGGAGGCTAGGATTTCAAGAACCCTAGCCGTATGAGAAAATTCAAGCCTTTTGGGTTTAATTTCTATAAACCCTAATTTTGATCTATTCACTATTATACACAATCAACTAGAAACTTATGGCTCTAATACCACTAGTGGGTTTTATAGGTTATAAACTATGCATGAGACAGTATACACAATCAACTAGATAATGCATGTTGCTATTAAACTGTTTTTATTTTGTTTATTTCCAAAATTACCCTTGTAATGTATAAAATGAAAAAAAAATCAGATAATGCATGTTGCTATTAACAACATATAACAATACAAACAAAACATAATTTGTTAAATAATGAAACTGGAATAAATAATGAAAGTACATATTGAAGTTTATATCATTAAAAATAAATAATTATTGTTATGGACTTCAAAATACCTTCACAACTTTCTCTACATCTTCATCAGATTCCAAAGGGATTTGAGTCATAGACACAGATTGAGTACTCTATAAAATAAGTTGGAAAACCCGGAAGTTACTTAAAAAGTCAAAAAGAAAAATCTAATTTATAGGGGAAATGTACATACCAAAAGTTCAAGTTTACTTTCCAATTCGGAAACAATTGATACATCTTCCGTAAGTTTGAGAATGATATATATATTATTATAGTTTTCCACATTATAGGATGTAATATCTACAAGAAAAGCAAACTTGCGGTTTTTCAAGATGTTAATTTGATTTGGAAATAGTTCCAAACTGTCTCCGGCCTGTAAGAGGAATGTTTAACATATTAAAACAAATAAAATGTGTTTTTATTTAAAAATATGAATTAAAACAAATAAAATGTTTTTTTTAAATATGAATAACATACTATACCTCTTCATGTATTTTTCTCAATTGGTATGCACTTATACCCAATAGCTTCTTCGCTTTCCTATCAAAAAGAGTCCATCCGATGGTGCCAGTAGCATCTTGTACGTTGATTGGAATCATATACCTAAACAAAAAATATAACATTAATATCAATTTTGTTCATAAGTGAAATGGTTAATATAAATACAAATGTGTATAAATACAAATGTTTATACTTTGTCACAGGATGAAAATCCGAAGTGTTGCAACGTGCTTCTTTACATTTAGTAACAACATTCTCTGAAATTTTGTTTAGGGTGTTATAGGAATGATTGACTTTGGGCACTGTGTCTATCTTTTTCCCACATGTGGAGCACGCGTCGTAATACCAACGTAGATTTTGTCTTATATTCACGATGGAACCAACTAATAGAAATTTCATTACCTTTATGAAATAAAAGGTAAAAGTTACTCAATAAAAAGTAAATTCCAATAAAAAATAAATATATATAAAAAAAGCAGAAATTTTTTAGTAAAACATTAAATTTTATATTAAAAAACATACAATGTGTAAATAAAATTAAAGGATATCAAATAATGCAATATACCTTCAGTGGTTCTATGATCTCACAAACTGTTTTTAAAGGGAAATCACCTTTAAAATCATCTATACAAGAAGAAGAGTAGCTTGGAAGTGTAGGTATGCTTTTTTCAGACATACCTCCATTGTTATCAGCTTTCAATCTGTAATGTTTAAAAATATTTATTTACATATAAGAAATTGTATTTGTTTTAATTACAAAACAATAATAAAAAATTTAAAAAGTTCAAGAAAACTAACTCTTTCTTGAACTCGATAATTTCGACAATGTCTGAATTAATGAACAATTTGGTTACATCAAAACGACTTTGGGCTTGACCAATTCCTGTAAAAATAAATTACTCAATAAAAGTAAATTCAAATAAAAAAATAAATAAAAATGGCATGACTACAAACCATCCCAAATGTTAAGTTTAGCAAATTGCATCACTATAAAACACAAGTTACTGTGGGATTAGTTTTGAGGTACTGTCACATCTGGTGTGCTTGAGTTCCAAATATAGTGACCTTCAGGTGTACAGACCTAAATAAAAAATTAAATTAATTAGTATTTAAAAATATGATTAAAAATAATAAAGAAATAAAAGAAATATAATCTCAATGTAAGTTGCTAATAGTCATCTTTATGTAATGCTTGGATGAGTTAGGATTTGATGTTTCAAGTGCATGAAATGAGACAACTTGTCCAATAATATCTACACAAGTTTAATAAAATATAATAATTAATATTAAGTTAAATACTAACATGTATAATAAATTAGACAATTTATAAAAGTGATTGCAATAAAATAAATAACTAACCAAAGAATGACTCTCTTGCGCATGTTTGTTCGATAATATAATTAAAATCAACAAACACAAAACCATTCACCAGACCTGAAAAATGCTCACATTTTTTTAGAATACTTCTCCAATTCAAAGTTATGGTCTTTTTGTGACCCGTAACACTAAAACCATTGTTCACCGCCGCCATGTTGGGTTTGATAATGATATAAGTTTGATCTTCCTTTAAAAGATCACCAAATCTAGAAAATTTTTGATTGAAAACACGAGAATGGTATTTTGTACCATGTTAAATCAAACAAAGAACAATTATTTTATTGATTGAAACATATTTAATATTGAGTGGTATATATAAAAAACTAGTACAACAAACCTCCTTATCCATTACAATCATTTCAATTGCTAAAACCACATTATTTTTTATAAAGTTCCACATCTTTAACACTCACACTTTGATATGGGAATCATCATCAATATGCTCAATGTTTTTAAGGTATACTTTATTACCTATATTCATTTCCTGCAAACAATTGAAATCAGATTTTAAGAATGATAAAACAAAGAAATGGTACACCTAAATTGCCCATGTTCGTACATGAATAAATCATTATTGAAAGCATATTTTATAATTATTTTTGTGTGGTTTTGAATATTTTGAGAAGTATGTTGAATATATACATAAAATTGTATGTTAGAAAGAAACTTTAATAATCTATATATGTTTTTGTTAGATAATAATAATCATAATTGGAAATCGTAATAAGTAATAAAATATTTGCAAAACAAATTATTAATTTACAAAGATATAATTATTGTTATGAATTTAATTATGGAAATTACAATGAAATAACATGATAAATAACGATGTAATGAATTTGATACATGAAAAAGTAAACATAACAGTAATAAACATATATAAATATAACACAATAAATTTTAAATTAAAAGGATAAAGTCTGATTTACTATATTAAGTAAAAGGTTATATAAAAAAATAAAAATACAAAAATTATTTATAAATTTCTAAAAACTTCTTTAAAACATGTGTAATACACGGTTTTTTTATAACCTTGCTAACTTTTTGTGAATGATCAACACACTTAAAGTTGTTAACATTCTCAACTATTATGAGATTTATGCTGTATTTATCACCACCTTATTTATGTAATCATTCAAACTTTTGGAAACCATTAGCTTGAATTCAAGTTCCTTGAGAACATAAATAACAGATCATTTGAAAAACATGGCAATATTCTTTGTTAATGTACTTTAGCAAGAGATTCAAGGTATAATGCTGAAATAGGAAGATTATGAATATACAATGTTGAAAAGGGTAGAAATAGGACCAAACATAAAATAAGAAGATTATCAAAGTACGATGTTGAAATAGAGCAAGAATAGAAAAAACACTATAACATTCTATTTTCTAAAAATTCTCATCCATTGATGTTTTTCGCATATGTTTTTACATCCATATTCAACCAGTTTTTCAAAATCTCCAAAATCTCCAAAATTATTTTATCTTAATAAAAAAACAGAATGTACACTAACCTACCAAAAAACGCAAAATATATTCACGAAAAAAAGAAAGCAGATATGGAAAGTAAGATGTACACAAAATCGAATGTATCCAATTCAGATGAATAAAGTTGAATTTCATAAAAGTACATTGTTAAATTTGGAACATGTTTACAATTTCTTTTTGTCTGTTTTTCTTATTTTCTGGAAACTACTTTGAGTATATACAGAAAAGAAAAAAAACGGTTTAGCATCACATTATGCTAATTGCTATATTATTTCCGGCAAAGTATTATGCTAATTGCTATATTATTTCCAGCAAAGTAGGATGAATCGAATGATTAATGCTAATTGCATTAATCATTTGTAGTAGAATAAAAACAGAAAAAAAACGGTTTAGCATAAAATTATACTAATTGCTATATTATTTCCAGCAAAATAGGATGAATCAAATGATTAATGCTAATTCCATTAATCATTTATAGTATATTTTATAAGAATGAAGGTTCGATATCAAACACAAACCATGAATAAGATGAAGGAGAAGCAAATAAATGTACAAATATGAACGATAGAATAAAGACTAACCTTATGCGTTGAACTTTGATGAAGCAGAAATTCTGAGATGCAGTCGAAACAGAAAGAATACGAAGCTGAATACCATATATCCAAGTAACCGGTGAATATATAATTCAAAAAGTGAAAGGATTGTGATGTTTACGAAATTTAAGGTAAGATGTTCCGTTATCTTTTAAGGTGATATATATACGAAATATAATTGAAAAATTCTTCCTGATTTTATGTGATTTTTAATGCAGGTTTATTGAAAGAGGAAGATTTGAAATTTGAATCCGAAAATTTAAGGTAAGATGTTGCGTTATCTTTAAGGTGATTACATTTTTAGTGCTAAATTTGTATAGAATATGAAATCCGAAAATTCATACTGATTTTATGTGATTTTTAATGCAATTTTATTATAATAGGAAGATAGGAAGATTTGAAATATGATATCCGTTAATTGAGGATCGAGGAATAGCATATTAATAGGGACATCTAATTTTTTCGTTAAAGGGAAAATAAGGAAATTAACTTAGCCTTTTGAGCGGGAAAAATTGTTGGGGGTAAGCTCATAGAATGCGACATGGCGAGCTGGTACTGTTTTATTAGTTTAGGAGATATGAATAGTACGTACCATATATCGTTTGATATACGTATTTTATTTCGTTACTTTTTGGTTCTATTTGATAGCTTCATAAATCTTAATGAAAAGTTTGTTTCTTGACCATCACATAGGATAAACAAGAAATGGAGGGATGGGTTTAAGGTGAGATCTATGGGAGCCACAACTACATGACAGGATTAAATAGGTTACATATGAAAGTACATTACCATTTTGATAGTAAAATAATCATTTTCACTAGTTTTGCCTTCAAAAAAATGATCCGGAGTCTCTGGTCGCTCTATATCATCCATACCAGAATCCAAAAATGCTTCCTTACCTCCTGTAACTGAAACAGCTATATCACTGATACATGTGTGTATACATGTATATATCTGATGTGTGTGTGTGTTTCAAATGCATGTATATAAATGTGTATATGGTGTATGTATTTGTTTGATTTTGATGGGAAATGGAAAGAAATGAAAGTAAGTGGCTTCATTCCAGCTACCAAATGAAATTAAGTTGTTATTTTTTCCTTTAGTTTAGGTTAGATGCAAGAAATAGTTATCTACATTTGATGTAAATTGCTTTAATGAGAATAAGTTAAGAAGTACAAAGTAAGATATTATTTTGCATTTAGTTTGCATTTTATTAATTTTCATTGCTTTATGGTTCTATTTGACAACTTCATAAATTTTAATGAAAATTTTGTTTCTTGAACATTATAAACCAAAACTAGCAAGTTTCAAGTGGATAAACCAGAAACGAAGAGAGGGCCTTCATGTGACATCTATGGGAACCATAACTACACAGCGGGGGTTAAAGGCATACCTTGCTATCTTTTTTTTTGCTTAAACGTCATTAATTTATAACATGATCTGTTTAAAGTTTCCATACCCATTTTTCTTTTCAGTTAAATGGAAGAGATAACAATATCTATCTAAACACAAAGCATTTTTCACTGGTGTGACCGAGTAATCACATATATGTATTTTTAACAAGGATAAATTGCATGTAAAAGGTTGTACTTTCAATTTTGGTAAATTTATATTTTAGGGAACTTACCTAAGTCCATTTTAAATCAATAAAATTCCTGAATTCCTAATCATGTGACCACTTTGGCAGCTCTCCAGCTCTCGAGAAGCTATAAATGAACCACGGTGGAAAATATGCAACCGGAGATGAAATTTACTTGGTATGTTTATATGGTTTGTACAATAAGATGAGATTTTTAGATTCCATTTTATTTCATGTTGAGCATGAATATTCTTGTATGTATTTTATATTTTAATTGCTTACTTGCAGGAAAACTTAAATCTGGCACCTTAACTTGATAATGCAATCATTCGTCACAAGCTTGACATGCCACTATTATGTGAAGTATTTAACTTTTTATATGTATGAACTTTTGATATGTATGGACTATTAACATAATGGAAGAAGTTCGTTATATGTAATGACCAAAAAACCTTTACTTAAAACTTTGTAAAAAAAATCCTTCGGACCGATGCAAAACATGTCTCTTTTCTAGTTTGTGCTAAGCATCAAAAAGTGAATTAAAATCTAGAATTAGGGCTTGAGGAGATGAATGAGACATCATACACAATGTTTTTTAAGTGGTTATGTGTGTTTCGGTTTTGTGATGAAACTGCAGCTAAAATCCGTTCTCTATATGCTCTAAGATTATCTCCCGGTCTCTTGTGGTTGTCACCATCTAGTACATACGATGGTCTCTCTAGTTATTTCATATGGTTTCGATTACCTTTAAGCTCTATGTACAACATATTACCCACTATGAACATCACTGGGAAACAGTGTTGTTGTTTTTTGGACGGTGTAGACAATTATGGTTTAACGGTGGGATGAAATTGATAAAGTTCTATTTTAATTTTCCGATTTGGTGGATCAAATTTCTTGCGTTCTCTTTTCTTTTATAGACCTTTAATAGATGACTCTCGACTCTCC